TTTATAACATTCTTAGAAATACAAAAAGTATTTTACTATGAAATGAATTAGCTTCCTAAGGGCAAGAATCTGTTTTATATCACCATATTTGATGCCACTTTGTTGATAAGAAGAATCAAAATAATTTACTAATATACCAAGTTCACAATTTGTTTTTTAGGTTAGAAACTTGACATTAAAAATAGAGCAGGAAACTCAGAAGCGTTGCCTTACACAAAATGACTTGAAGATGCAAACACAGCAAGTTAACACACTGAAAATGTCAGAAAAGCAGTTAAAGCAAGAGAATAACCATCTCATGGAAGTGAAAATGAACTTGGAAAAACAAAACGCTGAACTTCGAAAGTAAGTTTGAGACAGAGTTTTAATATGCACAGTTATCTACGTATAAATTATCTTAATTTTGTTGTATCTGGGGATTGTCTTTTGACCATTTTACTCTCTTGACCATATTTTCCCTTTCTTTCTGCAAAAGTAGTGTGTTGAATGCCACTCTTGTCCTTAAAGAAGATTGTAGTTGTTTCCCCAACAGTTTTTCACTGCTGCTACCTAATGATAATATGATGATAGAGAAGGTATGTTGGTGTTGCAGCAGAAGAAAATGTCTGTGATTTTCACTCCATAAGATTCTTCCTTAGGACTGCCTCTCAAGCCTATTGTCCATGTGCCTTTTGTAATGATTTTGTAGGATATACTCTAGTGCTCTACTTAATGTACTTAGAAAGTGGAAAGCATATTGTTAAAATACTTTAAAAAGATACAGTAAATACGCTACTAAAGTTTGTCTCATTCATTCTATTAGTAGTACAATTACTTCTTCCCAATCATGACTAAAGGTCATATTGGATCCCAGTTATTTGATGAGAGGCAGTATGGTAGAGTGGAAAGAAACATAGGCTTTGGAGCCAGACAGGCTGAGGTGTGAATATCAGTGCCATTGCTTACTAGTTGATCAACATTTGGCAAAATACTTTAAGCTCTCTCAGCCTTTTATCACACCTGTGAAAGAGGGCAGTAATAGCTTGCTTGTTAGGGATCTTGTAAAGGATAACAGTGATTTATTTAAAGCATCCAGAACACAATAAATGGTAGGGACTATTACTACTACAACTATTACTGTTACTACCACTACAACTATGACTATTGCTCTACTATTTTCTTTTTTTTTTGTATCTTGAAGTTTTTATTTTTTTATTTTTATTTTTTTACTCTACTATTTTCATCATTGTTAATTGTCTGCTTTTTACATACCTGCGATAGATCCATAAAATTGACACTATCCAGGAAAGGATGGTCAAAATATTCGAGTAGACTTTGTTCTTTTTGCTGATCTGTTTATTGCCAGAACAAGCCTAGACTCTTAATGAGATTTCAACTTTTAAAACTGGAACTAGAAACTAGGCCTAGTGGCAGTGGCCCACACCTGTAATCCCAGCATTTCAGGAGGCCTAGGCAAGAGGATCACTTGAGCCCAGGAGTTCAAGACCAGCCTGGGCAACATAGCAAGACTCCTATCTCTACAAAAAGTATAAAAATGTTGGTGTACATCTGTAGTCAGTCCCAGCTATTCAGGGAGGCTGAGGCAGGAGGATCACTTAAGCCCAGAAGTTTGAGGTTGTAGTGGGCTATGATGATGCCACTTCATTGTAGCCCAGGTGATAGAGCCAAGACCCTGTCTTGAAAATAAAATATAATAAAATAAAATTGAAACTAGAAATAGGAACAATATTCAGACATTTTCATCTTTGATTTTTTTTTGTTTTGTTTTTCTGTATATCAAGTTTATTCTTCTCATTTTAGGCCTACTTTTTCCATTTAACAGAAAACTTGGCCATTGACAGCTCTAGAGATATGTCTTATAGCTTCATTTATTTGGAGAGACTCTGATCAAACTTTACTAGAATCCAGGTTTGAAAGCACCCCAAGTCCTGGGATTGAACTCATTGGCCTAGCTTCAGTCAACAGCCTGAGCAGTGAATCCTAGGCTCTAGGGAATACAGTTTAAAACCACTTGGCTGAATGCTCTCCATAATATCTATCCTAACAATGGTGTTTATATGAATGCAAGAGGTAGTTAATCATCTAGATTGTGCTTGTCCCCCAGTTCTTTATGATACTTAGTATATATACCTCTTATTTTCTTTATAAGTTCAAATGGGTCTTTTGTTTTTTAATCTCTTTTTTTCCTAGTCACTCCTCCCCAAAGATACCCATGTTTTCTATCTCAACCACCTAATAGGTTATAAATTCACTGAAGGACAAAAATCATTTATATTTTGTTCTCTCCAATCCTTGATTAAGGTCTTGCACATAGAATATCTTCAATAAATGTTGCACGAATGAATGCATCCCTATTATGTGTAAGGCATTGGAATAGTCACTATGGGAGATAGAAAGATTTATCAAGTACATTTCCTACTCTGGAGAAGCTCCTAGTGTTTTATCAGAAGTTATTTATTGGGGGGAGGAGGTAAGGCAGGTATATAAATAATTGGAATGTAAGGTAAAAAGAAAAAGATACACACAACGAGAATTTACATATGAAATGCTATGTATTTAAATGGCTCCTTTTTAAAATGGCCAACATATATATTTCTTCTTCCTTCTAAAATTCTAGTAAAACTCTAATAGGGAAATTTTAAAAATATGTGAACCCATAACAAGAATGAGAATGGGTTGGAGGGCAAGAACGTCCTTTGATGGCAAGTGATGGAATCCTTGTGACTATTGAAGTGGAATGAAGGGAGCAAGGAGTATGTATAAGGCCAGGAGTATATATGAAGTGGGATATATATGAAGAAAAAAACATTTCAATATTCAAAGGAACTGCCTTGAAGGGCTGGAGTAAATGTGACACTGTGAATGGATAATCGACTGGTCATACTCTACCACTACCCTTGTAGAAATGTCTGCAGCCAGATACCTCCCACTACTGTTATGAAACCACAAGGGGGTTTCGGCCTAGGTCAGCTGCTCTCTGCACAAAGATCCAATTATTGAGACAAAAGGATTGTCAAGAAAGAAAGGAATTTTTTAATGCGAAAGATGTGTGTCAGGAGAACAGGGAATCAGCATCAGCCTCAAATCTGTCTCCCCGACGAACAGACAGTGTGGGCTTTATAAGGAGGGGGTGTGTGCACTGGAACAGGTTGTGGTGAAATTAACAAGGGGCTACCTGCATTGGGGCAGGTTGTGGGGGCTGGTGAGTCTTGGCATCAGGAAGTCTGCCAAGGAGCTTCAGAGTCTTAGCTCCTTGTCTTGCAGAAATTCTGCCATTTCTGGGAAACAACTTAGAAAGTTCAAGTAGTTAAAATTTTTAGGATTCTGGTCATCATGCCCTACTGGCCTGAGAATCTAAAATGTGAGAAGGAGAGGCTTAGAAAAATATATAGGGGTCATTGAAATTTGTTCGTAGACCACTAGAGTTCCTCTGAGAGCATTCTCTTCTAAAGAAATTGGGCACAACCTCTGGGGTATTATAATGGAATAGCTAGTATGGGGTGGAAAGCCTTCTTCATTCTGGCACTTAGGGATCCTTCTGCTTAATGCTGGCTTTTTAAGCCTCTCATCTTAAACTGAAGCTTGCCAATGAGAAAACTCCTCCCGTGTGCATAGAGATTAAAATTTCTCTCACCTCCTTTCTAAATAAATAACCATGTATCACTAAGCATTTGAGGAAAGCCTTCAACATGAAAGAGGAAGACTATGGTAGAGAAAAAAGGAAAAGGAAAAGTGCCCCAGAGGAAACATACATCAAGGAGTAGAAGAGAACTTTAAAAGTTCTGTGACAACAGAAGCACTATAAAAATCCTCTTGTAATTAGTATTTATTAAAAATTTCAGGAGATACCACTTCTACTTATTCCAGAATAGGAAAGTGCTCTCAAAGATTAAAAAATTACTGCCAATATAAATTGATTAGAAGGGTTCAAAGAAAAGGTGAAATTTCATAAAACGTAGAGCAAAAAGAAATGATATGGAAGATGCAAAGAAATAGATAAGACACAGAGAGACTGTTCCAAGAGTTCTAGCACCCAGCTCATAAGAATTCCAGAGAGAACTAAAAACCACAGGGAGGAAATTGTTAAAGGAATAACAGAGAATTTCCCATAGCTGATGGAGAAAAGCCTTTAGATTGAAAGGACCCAGCAACTGAATGAAAAAAGACTACATCTCATGTTCTCATGAAATTTCAAAAACACAGACAAAGGATGGGAGTGCTAGAGTTCTCATCTGGCTTTTGTGGTTGAAGTAAAAAGAAATAGAGGCTTAATCATGTCACTTAAACCAATATACAACTATTAATATATTGGGGTTTGGGGAGATGTTGGGGATGGCAAGAGAGCTAAATTCAAGTCTGGCAGCAGGGAATTGGTAAATGATATCTAAAATTTATGTCAAGAGGGCCGGGCACGGTGGCTCAC